GTCTTTGTAGATTTAAAACGCGAGTCTGGTACCTTTATTGCTGAATCTTCTAGCAGGTTCTTCGCTTCCTCGTAAAGAATTGGAAATTTCAAAAGATATTCTAAAAAATAACGTTTCTAACATTTTTATAGACTTGCATAACGGGTCGTAAATATGTTTGAACCTTAAGAAAAATTTGCTGTAAAGGAACTTTTATGTAAACACGTAAATATGTGTTACAAAGAACATTTTTGAATTTTATTCTCACTATAACGAACAGTTAGTGGGTGTTTATGCAAATTCATATTTTCATGTGTATAACGAAAGAAGTTTCTTTCATTACAATTAAGCCTTTCAATGTTGCATATCTTGGATATTTTTTATAATTTCGTACGTTTAGTATATCCTGTAGATTTTTGCATCTTTAAATTTCCTATAAATGCATAAACAGGTACATTGAATACACCGGATACCAAAGAATAATAGTAAAATTTGAATTTGAGTATACACGTACAAGATGTCTATTTCAAACACAAAGTTGCCGTCTTATGCTTTATACTTGAAATGTACACTTGCAATTTCCACCTATCATTTTACTTCAAACCATACTAACATATTATACAATTATGATAATATCGGGTTCCATTAAACTGGCCAGTGAAATTTCGAAATAACTTATGCATACGAATATGCGTATGAACTATTGTCTATTTACATATCATTTTCAATCGCCACACTGTGGCAAGAAACGTTCCAACTAATTCACCAAGACACGACGCTCGTTCTCTGCAAAATAACTTAGGAAGAAATCTAATCTACCCCGATCGAGTCCAAGTCCTAATCTCCTTCTATGTTTCTCCGGGAGCTTCCGGTTATACACAGTAGCTAATATCGGACTGGGTGAGTTGCAATGATCGCCTCTGGTCTCCGTTGACAGACAATACTGGTCGAATCCGATGGTGGCCGCGAGGCGGGCCCGTATCTCGGCGCAAGGACGCCGGCCAAAACGAAGGAGTTCCTAACTAGTTTCTCCGTGCATGTTCTCCGGACGGGAACAATGCCGATACACGAACACACTGCTCACCAATACGTGTCCTATACACGGGAATAGAGAGAGAGAGAGAGGAGAGGCCTGCACGTCGGAGTTACGACAATATCCCGAACTTACCGACCACAAACTTTCGGCAAAGAGACAGACGGAGAGAATGAGAGCAACTCGCGAGGGTGGATGGGGATGGCAACGTTGACGCGACGCCGTCAAAGGAACCGAGGACGTCTGCCTTATGGATACACTTGGGGGAGAAAGAGAGAGAAAGAGAGAGAGAGAGAAGCGGTCGTGGGCGTTCGAAGGCCGGCCGCGATAGCCACCGTTGGAAATTTCGATCTCGAGAATTCTCTCCGCTTTGTCCTTTTGCTCTGCGCGACACAGTTTTCTTTGCCGCGCGAACAACCCGACAAATTTTTTCGATACCTGCGAAAGTTGTCCGAGTCACGACGCGTTCAATTACCGTTCGGAGGTTTTAATAAGCAACAAGTTGATTCTCCAGCTTCTCGGGAACGATCGATTCCTTCGGGTGGGAGACATTAAGAAACAAAGACGGGGACGCGGCCGTGTCGTCAATTATCGCCCCCTTTCCCTCCCCCCCGTTCTTTTCACCGGCAGAAAAAGTCGGTTGCGAAGTTAATGCCACCCGGAGACTTCTCTCGCTACTTTCCCTCCTCCCCCTCACCCCGCGAATTAATGCCACGGCCCGAGTAATATATTCCGATTGAATTATTTTACACAGGAACTGCCGGATCCCTTTCTGTCTTCGCGCCCTTATTTTGAATTATTCATCGCTTTGTCGGAAAATTGCTTCCGAGCCACTTTCAATTATACGTTTGTCCATCGCTCGGCCCTCGTAGCCAGGCGAGTATCGTCCGTCCGACTTGCTCTCGCGTAATTTCTTTCGCGCGACGCTGACGCGCGACAACGGGGTTGTTGCGAGTTTGAAACTTGCGGGTGAGGGGGTGTTTCAATCCTCTCGCGTCGCGAAGATTCGCCGAACGATCGGAACTTTCAAACCGTCGTCGCAACTTTAAACGAGGGATCTGCGTTGGTAATGCCACCGTTTGTTTCTCGCTCCTTTCGACAAGTTCGCTTGTAAGGTTACCGAGTTGTCGAAGTCGCGGCGTGTAATTTCCGAACTGCTTCACTCTCGCTCGGCCATTTCGACCTATTACGCCTGGTAACACGCCTGGTACGCTCCGTTCGCGTAAATACTCGGTTCACATGCTCTGGCGAACAGCAGCGGGATTTATGAAAGGAGAAAAAGTGAAATTTAATCCGCTTGTTCCGCGAGACCTATTAACGAAAATGGCAATTTTCGTTAAACCGATGGGAAACGCGGGCAGAAACAAGATCAACGCCTTCCCCCTCTTTATCACGCGTTCTCCGGCTGTCCGTTTTAATTAATGGTTTTTTTCAACTCGACACCGTCCTTTCCGACTAAACCACGCGTTCCCTCGCCTTAGACGTTCGATCAAACTGATCCGGATTTTATTCGAGGAAACGGCCGGAAACGATTTCATCTGGAGGGATTATCGCGCGCCACGCGAACCGACCGATGCGTGGAATATTCGCGTGCAAATATCTCGATCAGTTTGTACAACGGTGAGTAAGGGTGAGAGTTTCGATCCGAGAACGGATAGCTCGATAAAAATTTAATAAAGCGTGGCGAAAATATATCGCGAGTTTGGAACGAGATAGGAAACGACAGTGGGGGAGGAGGGGGGGGGGGAGATGTTTAATTAAATTTTTATTGGCACCGCGCAGTGGACAAAGTGTCCTTAAACGCGGGCCGATTTCCGGATAACGCCCGAAGGATTGGCTCGTTAAAAAATTTTCGACCTCGACCGGCGACGAATTCTCAAACAACGGCTGCCGAACCAAGCGTTTCCAATAAATATTCTATGCATTCTTAAATCTTCATTTCGGCGACTGGCTCTAAAAGGGAATACCCGATCATCGAGTTTTGTCGTCTAAACTGCTATCACTGTTCCTACCCAGCCTCTTCCGAAACCATAGAAAATTCATGCGCCGTCCTCTCACAACCTCCCTGCGAAACGAATTGGGTTTTTAAGGGGCCGGTTACGTTGCGAATGAAACGGAAAAGAGGAGAGAGTCAAGAGCGGGGAGAGAAAGTGGAGTAGAGCGCTCGTTCGCGTTTATTAATAGATCCAGAAGAGAAGAAATCAGTCGACTCGGTCAATGACGTTCTATTGTTGTTTGCATTGTTGCACATTCTCGTGCGCGGGATCGATAAACCCTAGGATCGCTTACACGGAAGAACGGAACGTTGCGTAAACAACGCGTGCGGACGCGCGTTAAAATTAATTGGCTGAAGTAACGGCCTGTGTCGAGTTCTCTCTGACATGGAGTGGAAATAACTTTCCTCGGTACTCTCACTCTCGAGCATTGGTACATCTTGTTTTCGTTTCTTTTGCAGACCTTCGCCTTTAAAACCGCGATTCGACCGTGGAAAACGGGAACGAATCGGACAGTGGGAAGAGAATCGATCATCGACGTCCACGGCCATCAACGACGACGCCGATCGATCGATTAACTATTTTCACTAGGGCAACTGGTCTCTGTTATCCGCGTATCGCGATCGTGCCATCCAAACCCTGAATCGTCGAGCTTTTCTCCCCGTCTTACTTGCGTCTTGGTGGTAGGCACGTCCGTGAATCTATTCCCCTGGGGCTGGTAACAAGCAACTAGTCAGAAAGAGAAAGAGACAGAGAGAGAGAGAGAGAGAGAGCAACATAATATATTCCCGATCCGGTGGCTCGATGTTCTAAAGGCGACTATCAAGTTGTGGTCGCCTAATTTACGATCCCGGCAAATGGACGTCGGCTTCGGTGGACGCGGCTTCGGCCGCTCAAACTACCCTCACCTCCCTGCCACCGCCACTCTCTTTCGCCTCTCGTTTCTCGAGCAAGCAGCAAGGATCCTCCCCGGGGAGTTTGTTATCGCAGGCGGAAAGCAACGCGTGAACTTCACGATCCAGGGAGCAACGTGAACAATTAAGCGGCGCAAGGGTAGCTCGAGGGGACGGCTATTTCGAATATTAAGCTCGAGGTTGAGGGTGGACGTTTGCAGCTGCTCGCTGGATTACTTGGATAAATCTGGACACAAATTCGGCCGGGCTGAATGGTCCGGATGGGTCAGACGCGAGAGAGAGAGAATGAGAGAGAGAGAGAGAGAGAGAGAGAGATGTTTGAAATAGCTGGGCGAGTTTTCCACTGAACTTGGCCTGGTTTCGGTAATTACATTCGCTTTTGTTATATTCTAAGCTACCCATTAGCGAGTGGTTTAATTGGATAGTTCGAAGTCAATTGGAATATTAAATATCCTGCTGCCAGTGTCACGATCCGCGGAACGAAGCGAGCGACGATCGATCAGCACGCGATCGGGCTGTAGTCCGTCAGGCAATTGGAACGGTAAGGCTGGCGGGAACGCATCTTCCACTGACCCGGATGGTTTGATTGATCAGATCTAATCTCAGATTCGGGCGAATCGATCCGCTCTGACGACGGAGAAACTGGCAACTGGTTGGCATTTCCGTTTGGCTCTGTTGAACATGGATCTCTGTCATCTTTGATCCACCTTGGATCGGTCGATCTGCTCGATCGTGTGCCTCTGCCTCTTCGCTTGCTCGAACAACAGCCCGATAGTATAAACGTGGCGAAGAAATCGACGAGACAAAATTGAAAGAGAAGAAAGACAAATGTGTAACCGTTGACACGACGGAGCAAAGTGACACCGGGAAAGAAGACGACGAAGGGGAAGCGAGTGGAGTGGAGAAGCAGAAGAGGCGCTATTTTTTTCGCTAGCGGACCGTTCGGTCGATGGTCCAAAGTCGACTGTCGGGCCGCGTCGGTCGGGTGCTGGCGGCGTCGCGACGCTTGCGCCGCAGCAGCCGCGACTCCGTCAGACGGCGCCTCGACGCTGGTACCGTCGGACGGGCCGGTCGGTCGGGCCACCAGTCAGCCTCCAGTGAGCCAGCCAACCTCTCTCTCTCCCTCTCGCTCGCTCTCTCGCGTGCACGTAGAGGCGCGCGCGCGCGCGCGCGTAGCCGCGTCCTCTCCACCTATACGATACTGTGCGCGCACACACACACACACACACAACACACACGCATAGGCACACGCACACACGTACGTATGTACGTACATATAGAGTTGGCACGCGCGCACAGGCACCACATATACACACAGAGCCGGAGTGCGGAGAATTCACGGACACGCGGTGTGTTCGAACGGGTCGTCGGTGTGGAGAGCGAGTTACACGCGCACATGCACACCAGTCGGTCTCGTTCTTTCTCGCTTCATCCCTCTCCCCGAACTTTCTTCGTCGCACGCCCGCCTCGATCCTGCGAGGAGAGTCTCTATCCAACGAACGACACGAGAGGGAGTCCGAGTTCCTGGCTCGTCCCTCGCGGCTGCAGTGCGTTCCCAAACATCCACGAGACAACCTCGAGGTGTCCGCACGTACGCACGCACGCACCACGCATCGGCCGTTCAAGGACCACGAGGAGAGAGAAAGAGGATCGTGAAGCTTGATCCTGAAGCTAGCTAGAATACGAATACTGTCGGATACGCGACGCACGCGACCACGCACGGTGCTGCACGTTCGTCGCTGGCTTTTATCCGTTGTTGACCTTTAGCCGAGGAGCTTTCGAATGCCGTGATCGACAATCCCAGAGCTCGTCGCTCTTCTCTCTATCGTCGAACAGCAGGAGAAGATAGTTTTTTTTTCCCTCCCTCTCTTCGTCGTCTCTCCGACAGGCAAGTGTTGTCGCTTGATCGTTTCACCATCGGGCGCGTAACTCCGCGTTTTCCACCGGGCCGTAGCTTGGAACTCGGTCGGAGTCGAGCGAGCTCGAGTTTCCCGCGCGTGTTTCGCCGCGTGTGTGACTCTCCGAGAGGGAAAGCCGCCCCGAGGATCTCGTGCGTGCGACGGTGCACCTCGTGACGGACCAAGCGGAAACAGAGAAGCGGCGACAAGTGGAAGCAGAGAGAGAGAGAGAGAGAGAGGGAGAGAGAGAGAGAGAAAGACGAAAGCGAACAAATTCGAAGATTACCTCGCTCTTCTTCTTCTTCTTCTTCTTCTTCATCGAGGGGTGTTCCGAAGGTGAAACGCGAGACGGTTGATCCCGACGAGAGGGGAGAGAACAAGTTTGCTCCGCGCGATACGAGGCGAGAGAATTTTCTCGTGTTCGAGCTCGGTAACGATCGGCGATCGTCGAGCGGCGTTTCTCATGGGAAATGAATCGAAGGATGACGCGTGGCGGACGTCGTCAAGCTCGATGGAGGAGCTAGCAGCGTGACGAGGGAGGCGGTGATCTTCGCTCTGCTGGTGGAGATTTCGCGAAAATACACGGAGGGACGTCTGCTCGGTGGCTGGAAGCTGGAAGTGTCGACGAACGAAGGGGGAATACAGTCGAGCGAACTTTTGCCGTGGTGTGTCGGGAGAACTTTGCTCGCTGGGTGATCAGCTGACGTCGAGAGAAAGAGAGAGAGAGAGAGTGAGAGAGAGAGAGAGACCCCCCGATCGCGAGTTCGAGGACACCGGTGTGCGCGAATGAATCCTGTTGATCCTGGCGTGTGTGAAAGGGCAGAGGGTTAAAGGACGGGCGGGAGAGTGAAGGGTTCAGGGACGTGTCTCCTGCGTGTCGACGAATACCGAGCGTGTAAATAGATGTACAGATGAGTCGAGGACGTCGACACTGATCGAGGGATCGAGTCCTACGATCCGCGAGTTCTCCGATTCTCCAATTCCTTTCGCGAACTCTCGCTCTCGCTCGTTCCACGTTCTCCGGGTCCTCCTCCTTCCCATTCTCCTCTTCCAACGATCTACGTGCTAGGATTGTAACGATAAGGATAGAATAAAACGCAGGATAAGTCCGTTACGCTATACGATTCAAGGACCAGCCTCCATTCAACGACGTTCGTAATAAGCAGATCGAGCCTAGCAGTTCTAGAGAATCTCCGAACAAGTAGAAACGCGTCTACGTGTGTAAGTGTGTATGCATAGAACCTATACGGATTTAAATCGTCGCGATTCCGCGATCACGTCGCCGCGCGTGCCTGTGCGTGCGTAGAGTTCAAACAAAGTTTGTAATCTCCGTTTGTCCGTCTGTTACTTTCTTTCTCATTTCGTCTTTTCTCTTTCGTTTTTTCTCGTGCCCGCGCGGTGGGCAGCGTTCGATTTTCTGTGTTTTCGTTCCGGTTAACTGAACAGGACGAACAGTAAATTTACGAGTTTTAATCGTAAACAATTCGCTGAAGTCGCAAGTCGGAGCAGTACGGGTATAATATATCCAGCGCTTAGCCTTTTTAGCCGTGGCGCGGTAATTAATTAGCTTGAGGGCGAGTCGTTCGGACTCGGGAGTAAGCAAACGTACGAGCCGAGCGTACGGTGTACAGCGGATGCTGCGGGGTGGAGGGAAAAGCTCGGGCATCGTGTCACGCTACACGATCGTCACTATCGTCCTCGGTGTCAATTTTCCTCTCGTCGACAGCTCGATAGCACGGAGATTCGACGAATCGTCGTTCGTTTTTTTTTTTTTTTCGCGAATCGTCGTCGAGCCGATCCGTGTCGCGCCGATCGGAGGCCGTTGTTCGCTTAATTCGAAGGTCTGAGCGGGTCGAATCGGTTTAATCTAAGAGGAAGATAGAAAAAAAAAAAAAAAAAAGAAAAGAGGGACCAATTTTTCACGCCCATTCTCAATCTCTCTGTTTCTTCCTTCTTTTCCATCTCGGCTGCCTTTCTCTTTCCATCATCTCTCTCTCTCTCTCTCTCTCTCTCTCTCTTATTTTCTCTTTCTCCTGTCTCTAGCTGTCTCCTTCTTTTCTCCTATCCGCCTTTATCTCCTTAATCCAGCCAGCCAACGAACTATCCATAAATCTCTCTGTACGCTCTTTCCGTATTAAGTCCGTCATCGTGAGACCGACCGGAATACCGGGAATACGAAGAGGGAGTCGCAACTCACGCAAGCAATAAATCAACGGCCGACCTACCACCGCGACAACGGCCAACAGGAAGGTGGTACGTAAGCAATCGTCAAGGGAGGATCGTTGAAAAATCAAATTCCGAGAAACTTTGGTCCAACGAAGGAACGAACGAACGATCTTTCTGCGATTTTTCATCGGAGGGTGAAAACTACGTACAAAAGATATACGTCGCGTTGTTTACGAAGGAACGGTACTGTCCGGTACTATCCAAGTTTCCCGCGAATAATAACAGTTAAGTACAGAAAGGACTCTCTATATCGAGTAGACGAGGAAGTAGCAGTTCCAGTCCTTTCTTCTCTCTCATTGTCTCGCTTTCTCTCTCTCTCTCTCTCTCTCTCTCTCTCTTTCTCTCCCTCTGTATCTGTCTATCTGTGTTTGACCGTTCCTCGCTCTCTGTTCGAACGAAAAGAGAGATCGACCAAAGGGAATAAGGGAAGCGTAGCGGCCGATCGTCAACAAGGCTGAACAGGCCACACGCCCGTTGTCCGTTTAATGACGATGACATCATCCTGAAACGGGCATGACGCCCCTGGCCTCGAGATGCGACGAGACCACTACCATCCTGCTGCTGCTGCTACTCGAGCTTGCACCCGGTGCACGCTGCTACTCGCGCGCGGCCACCACGTCCGCCTCGACTTTGTCGAGATAGCATCAACAGTCGACGGCGAGGGTGCGAGTGATGCCGCTCTTCGGCAGCATTATGACCATCGACGTCGCCGGTAGTCCGACTACGGCGTCCACCAGCGTCTTCGACGAGAACATGACGTGGTCTCGACCAACCGGTGGCTCTGCGTCTTCCACTAACGAGGCCCGCTCGATTGACAGTGCGACGACGACTCTCAGCAACGACGACGACGAGCAGCAACTGCGCCGGCTGATTGCCGCAGCGACCGCGACCACGACCACGACCACCCGCGACGATCGTTCACGAACCGCCCAAATCGCCGACCAAGAAGAACTCGACCAACAAGGACCAAACAGCGTCGAACAACAGCGAACCACCTCTAACGAAATTGAACGCGACGCGAACGACACGAACGTTCGACAGGTGGAAACGATCGGTAGGACCGGTGACGGCTGTGCCTGCGATAGATTCGGTGCCGGGGACATTGTGTCCGAGGTGGGCAGACTGCCGTTCTTCGTCGGCGAACCTTCGTCGTTCGACGAAGCGGAGCTCGCCAATACCAGCGAGGTGAACACCACCTCCGTCGGCTTCGACGGTACCAGCACCGGCCTCGACGTCACCACCACCGATCGCGAAGACGTGGAAGGACTCAGAGAGCTGGAACTGCTGTTCGGCCTGGGCGGTATAATGGAGGATCTCGGTGGATCGTTCAACGACTCTTTCAACGAGAGTTTCCTGTTCCCGTGCAACGGCACCCGCTGCAACGAAACGTCGTACATCGTGTTCGGGGAGAGCCTGTACCCGTCCGGGTACACGCTGCCGCACATTATTCTGGCGTCCGTCCTGGCGACACTGTTGATGATCGTGATCGTCGTGGGTAACATGCTGGTGATCATCGCCATCGCCACGGAGAAGGCGCTGAAGAACATACAGAACTGGTTCATCGCTAGCCTGGCCGTGGCCGATTTCTTTCTGGGCCTGGTGATCATGCCTTTCTCGCTGGCCAACGAGATCATGGGCTACTGGATATTCGGCTACTGGTGGTGCGACATTTACTCGGCGATGGACGTGTTGCTGTGCACCGCCAGTATCATGAACTTGTGCCTGATAAGCTTGGACAGGTTCTGGAGCATCACGCAGGCGGTGGATTATTTGAAGAAGAGAACACCGGCCAGGGCGGCGCTGATGATCACGCTCGTCTGGCTTCTCTCCGCTCTCGTTTGCATCCCACCCCTGTTGGGGTGGAAGAGACCGACGCCCGCCGAGCAATATCCCAAGTGCAAGGTAAGACTCCACTTCCTCTTTTATCTCGTTTCTCATCTCGTCGTGGAACTTCTTCTTCTTCTTCTTCTTCTTCTTCTTCTTCTTCTTCTTCTTCTTCGCGCGCGATGAATTTCTACGATACTCGATGAAAAACGGAAAATTAAGTCGGATTTTATAAGAGAGAATAAAATAGTTGGGAAGGGGGGGGGGGGAGGTGGAATAACGCGGATAGCGCAAAGATACACAGCTGCTAGTGAGTCGTGATTCGGTTGGTTAATGTTTAAAACACAATTTGCTCGGTTGTACTCGAGCAAACAGGAGCGGGTAATACAAGAGTTAATTATTTCCTCGAAACTGGTTGTTAGGGGTCGGACGGGTCGTTGCAGATGACAGATTACGAGCTCGTGTTCCGTCTTCCAGACGCGGGATTAAATCGGTCGTAACGAGGGGATTCACGGGCGAAGAAAGACAGAGAAATTCCCTCTCGTCATTCTCCCGATGATTTCTAGCCGGCCGTTTGTCGTACGGTCGGACAACGTTGTCCGTTGTTACTTGACCGTGTAATTCGTTCGCTTATCGAACGTTGAATACCGCGCGAGCACTTAATTACTTCCAGCCAGGCGGACTCGTTGTTCGATTCGGTCGGGAAACGACGAGTCACCGGCAGATAGTGTGAATCGGAGATTCAAATTTATCGGATTCGACTCGAGTTTGTTCTCCACGATCGCTACGTGTGCTCGAGGTTAACGGGGTTGCGTTGTAAATCCTCGAGATCCTAAGCCACCCGTTCGTCCTCGAAGCTCTCCTGCTTATTATCGCGGTCGTGACGTGTAGCTGTCTGTTACGCGACGACCGATTCCACTCGCGCCTCGAGTGTATATCAACGTGATACGTACAACGCGATACGTACAACGCGATAACACGACTCGAGACATTAAGAGTTCTGGAATTTATCGCGCTTCCGACGCGGTTGTAAATCCTCCTGATTTTTCAATTAACACGAGACGATGTTTTAATCGAATTTACAGATTTCTAGGTATAATTGAAAAGTTTTGGTTTATTCATCGCCGATAAATTACGCGGCACGTCGTGCATATATTTGATCAAGTATGTTGATTGATGATGATTCGCGAGTGACGATTTTATATTAAAATCGACGAAAAACGTCGAACATTTTTTTTCTTCTTTTGGTAATGGCGGAACAATTTTCTGCAAAAACTACGAGCTTGCTGATTCTAAAATCCTATTTTTATAACTCTCTGTATTTTATATACTGAAACAAATACTATGTTACAATGTTATACACTTAACATATTTGCAAGACATTCAGACACTAATTTGGGTAAATATTGGGTTACTATATTAAACGAAAGTGATTAAATCCCAAAAAGTAACGAAAAAGGAAAATATTCAAATTGGAATTTAATCGATCAAAATACACAAACTGTATTACGAATTATACAGTGACGAGCACACATATGGATTTTTGGGACATTAATAATATTTTATTGAGTGTTTGCACGGAGAATACAAACAGAATAAAAACATTTTACAAAAGTATTTTGTGGAATGTCTGTTATCATCATCATTCTGACAGATATAAATTGTTTTCGTTGAGATAATTTTGCACCGCAATTAATTTAAATGAAAAATTATCGATAATTTAAATAACATGAGAAAAAGAAATTATACATTAGGTCTTATTTTAAAGCGTAAAACTTCCATTTCGACTACTTTAAATTAAATGAAAACGTGTTCTTTTCTTTCAAGAAATGGTAAAAAAATTAAAATGCACGTGAAAACACTGAAAAATGTTATTTGCGATTAAATTTATCGTGGTCTTGGAGATTGAAGTTTCCCCTCTACGATTCTTTAAAACTTGCCGTAGAATTGTTTCCCGTTATTTTATCAAACTTTATACATTAAGGTTAAACAACAAAAATTCTGGAAATCCCGTTTCGTCGTTTAAAACTCTAACGTAAACTCTGATATCAAATTTTAAAGTTCCTTCGCAAAAGAAAAATCGCACGACAAGTTTATTTAAGGAGTTGTAGAATTTCAATCTTTCTGTGATAGATCGAACGACAAGAAAAATGTTTTAACATTTTTAGGAATGAATCTTTTCAACTTTCTACAATCTTTGATGACAAAAGTACTCTAATTTTCTCACCCGTATTGAAAAATACAAACTTCGATTGTCGTAGTGTAATTTTCATTCACAAAGTCACTAACAGTGTAAAATATCGACGGTAATGTTCGCTCTTACTTGTTACAAGTGGATTTCCTAGCGCGCAGCTTGCGGTACGTGAAACGTTTCACGAATAATAACTGGGACCAATTATGAAATACCCGCGAGACTGCTGACTCCTTTAAAATCAGATAGCGGCAGACACGGTGTACGCTAAAAGGCAAGATTTTCCCCGCACGCGGCATTCTCTCGGTTTATCCTGGTCACACGTTAGGGGGTGGCCTCGCCTTTTATGCATCGGCGAGACCCACCCTCGTCACCCCTCGAAACCCCTAGAAACTCGCTTATGTCGGCCTGCACGAAACGCCGCCGTGCAAGATTGCAATTCTATCCGCCGACACTTTGCTTCGCGGTGTTGCTGACTTTTCTACCATTTTGTCGCGTTTCTTTCCACCTCTTTCGCCCCACTCGTGTCTCTCACGCTCCTCTTTGTCTCTGTTTTCTTTCTCTCTCCGAAAATACGGGAGTTGCATCGCGGCGCCACGAATTCGACTACTCGCGACTCGCGAGACGCGATCGAAGTCGCCGGGGCGGAAACACGAAATTTTCGTCGACGTTTCGGGGAAGCCGAAGCGAAGCTTTATCGTTCCCATTGATCACGTTGTTTCTCGCTAATTGGAAGGCTCTGTCGGTCGGGCGGGCGTGTGTACGAGCCGGTTTAATTAAGCCTCGCGAGCTCGTGACTGGAACGCGAACTTTTTAACGGGGCGAATTTTCGGAATCGAGCGGCACCGGCGACTCCGAAAGCCAACGGGCCGTTAATAACACGCGCAATCGAGCCTCGCGAGGCTACCTGTTGTTTGCGGTGGCGAAATGCGATGACTCGGCCCCCGGATTCCCCCGGCCACGCGATGTTAATAACCTTCGAGGACTAATGGCGGGGAAAAAAGTTTCGTGTTTCCCTCGTTAACCGTCTACCGGGCGGATCTTCCCTCTTGTTCTCTTAACAACGCGGCTCCTAGGTGTCGAGTTGCTTTCGCTTAAATTTCGTAACTTCTTTCCACCGTTTTCCTCCCCCGGAGGAATATACAACGAAACAGCACCGAAGCCGCCGATTTATCTCCTCGTAGATACAGTAATTGATTTCAGCTCGTTGATTCGACAATCGCGAGACGTCGCGTGTTGCGTTAATTTTATAAAATTTACCGACAATACCTCTCGATTAATTTTCCGAGTCGGTATATACGTTCACGCTCGCGAGGACACCTGCCAGTTTCGTCGGAACAATTATCGAGAGATGTGACGAATACAGTTATGTGAATTACAATTACGTGGAATTTAATTCATAATTGATGAGATTATCATTGAAACGTTGAATGTATGGATGATATATATATACACACAGGGTGGTCCACGGAATTTGTGCATCTCCTGTAACTTCCAAACTATGCGTTGCACAAAAAAATTTTGAATAGAAAGGTTGCATGGTTCAAAAGTACACTGTGTAGTGCATTTATGTTTTTTTTATAGGTGGTGACGTTTCGGAGATTTGAAGGTCAACTTTGTTTTTTTAAATGGAATACTATATTTTTTATGTCAAAGTATGAAAGAATATCGAATTCCGAGTAAAAAAGTTTTGACCTTTATTAGCCCTAAACCTAACAGCTAACGAGTAATTTCACTTTATCTCTTGAACATTTTCTTCACGTTTATGGCGATTCAAGCCTGCTGGCGCCCTTGCGACCACCCTGTACAACGAAACAGCTCTGAAACCGCCGATTTAACTCCTCGTAGACACAGTAATTGATCAGCTCGTTGATTTGACAGACGCGAGAAGTCACGAGGGAGTCTATGAAACGTTAATTTTATAAAATTTACCGACAATACCTCTCGATTAATTTTCCGTACTCGATTAATTTTCCGACTCGATGTACGTTCACGCTCGCAAGGGCACCTGCCAGTTTCGTCGGAACAATTATCGGGAGATGTGACGAATACAGATGAGGAAGCTATTTAATTTGATTCCACATAGTTGATGAGATTATCATTGAAACGTTGAATGTATGAATCCCATATATATATATAGTCTAAAAGCGACGAATACAGATGAGCGAGCTATTCAATTTAATTATACATAATTAACGACGTTGTAACACACGAGTCCATCGTTGTTTAAATCCGAACGATTTTAATAATTCGGCGACGCTCCAAACTCGAGTTCCTCCCGCTCTTGCGAACGAAGACAGCCAATCCTCAATCGTTGAAGCATTTCGCCGGAGCGTGTCGGTTCACTATAGAACTTGTTGCAAGTTTCTTCGAGCAGGCATCGAGAGGAAGGGAAAAAGTCGCGTTGTAACCAAAGTTATCGCTTCGGTTCAAAGGGAGCCCGTGTCGTGACGGGCGTGGAGGGAGGGAGTCATTACGCGCACGCGAGTCACGAACGCGGAGCATTCACTACAGGCGGAAAAGGAGTTCGTTCGTTGCTCGAAGAACGTACGGTACGAGCGAAGTTGGTACGACTGGAAGAGAGTGTAACAGGAGGAGCAGAGGTACGTAGATGAAATCGGGTGACAGGGAACAGGATGCCGGCACGACGCGGAATCAAGGGGCTAAGCTTATCGGGCTAAGCCGCGCATGTTGACTGAAGTCGGCATTAAGTTGCCGCGATACGGCCGAGTCTCTCTCGTGTAAAATCCGGCCCGCGTGCCATTTAGCGGCCGCACCACGCCATCGGTATACTACGTAAGGTACAAAAGGACGACGCGTTCTGCGTCGTGGATCTAACACTTTCGCGACCATAGGCGATCGTAGGGTGAGACGTTCGGTTAGAACG